CCTCATTCTTACGTAGTACGAAGTATTATTTATTCTTATTATAATGAAATCAGATCACAAGTACCTTTTTTTTTGAAAAAAAACATAAACATCTCTAATATAACGTAATTAGAGTACATCATATCTTGATATAACCAGATCTAATCCTATCAAATGAGATTGACCTACCTAAATGCTTTGTAATTTAATTATATCTTCTCAATTTTTTCTGAAGGAGGGGGTATATATGAGAGTGAGTGGGGGTGAGTCAAATTTAGTATGGGAAGAACAAAAGTAGAGGGAATTTGAATTGAATGGGAGTTTGATTGCTCAAAAGAATATGCTGATGATGAGTTTAATTGGGACCCAACTTGCATGTGGAACACTTTGAGAATGTGTGGATCCTCATCTTCTTCTAATCAATGCATTAATTAATTAATCAATTAATTAATTAAACTCAAAGAAAGATGCCTTAGCTTTGGTCATGTCAATGTGCTGTATTTTCGTAGGCATTTACCCCAAAATAAAAAATATAGAAAATCAGTGAGGAGATGAGATGACCAGCTGCAGGCTGAGTTAATTTTTAAACTAACAAAATATAGTGCATTTTTTATACTAAAAAATTGCATCTTTCAAATGAATATTTTGGTGGAAGTTATATGAGCAATAAGAATTTTGTCATATTTATATTTTTTTCTTTTGTGTTTTCCTTAATTTGTTTCAGCCCTTTCATGTATATTCCGGTTATAACTAAACTCTAGTTATTACTCTCAAAACTCTAGTATAATTATTTTAAATAAAATTAATATTGTATCCAAACTCTAGAGTGTAGATTCTAGTTAACAAACCCCAAAGAAACTGATAAACTAGATATAGACCTGACAAACTAAAATGGAAACTGATTACTTGAATCGAATTATCTAAAATTGAAATGATCTAATACAAAAATTGAAGACATGACCTATAACCAAAACCGAAATTTTCTAAAAAGTGAAGACATGATCTATAACCTAAAATCTGAAATAGTCTAAACTGAGCCGAAACCAAACTAAATATTCTCAACCCCGAAATAGAATGGAACTAATTAGATTCAAATCGACGAGATCGACCCAAAACCGATCTAAACTAAAATTAATTAAAACCAAATTTGACTAGAATCGAATCGATCATATCTATACATACCTTGTATGTTTAAAAAAAAATATACAGCACATATTTGTATGTATCTATGTCAAAAAACCAACTCAACCAAAAGCTCAAGCTTATGGTGTAGCCCAGGAAATATATATTGTAACACGTCCCCTCACATGCAAGCGTAGTTTTATTTTTAGCATTGCACGAGAAACTTTAATTTCTTTAAAACTGGGTGGCGCTGAGTTTCGAACACATGACCTCTTAGTCAACAAGGCTCCGATATTATTTCAAAGAACCAGCTCAACCAAAAGCTCAAGCCTATGATTGTGGCCCAGGAAATATTTTTTATATTCGAACAGTCTACATATATATATAATTTACATATAAAAATATTTTATATTGAATAATAAATGAATTCGAACCGATTCAAGTGACATTAGAGTCTAATATCAAAGTTTTGATGCTTTCTACCCCATAACCCCCTCGCCCCTCTCCCCTTTGTGGATTGGCTACAGTAACTGAAGGGGGGCGAGGTCATGGGGGCGAAGGAGTATGAATCATCAATTTTTCAAAATGGAGCAACATAGGTGCTTCGGGTTATATTATGACATTACTTTGCAATGTTATAAAATAAAACATTTTTGTTACTCTTATTTTGTAAAACTTTAAAATGTACTTATATAAATATTTAATAGAATGAATTGAAAAAAATTAAAATTTAATTTAAGGATGGAGTATCAAGTAGAGAGAGTAGGAAAATGCTAGAGTCGCAAATACTCCATATATAGTTCACAAATTTCACAAACTTGCCTTTTATGGATTTTAAATTAAAATATCTTTTATTATTTGAGTACATCTTATTTCTAGAAAAGTGTTAAAAAGATAAATTTTTGAATTTTGTGAAATGTTTATTTGTGACTCTAGCATTACTTGAGAGAATAAACAATAGTCTAAGGTTGTGTCAGTCAGCTGGCAGTGGGTGCAAAGGCAAATGGGACTTCCATCTACTCTAAACTGTGTCATAATAAAGTGTTCAAATTATAAGCACAATTAGGTGATTAATTAAGTCATTTGCGTCTAATTACAACTTTAATTATTTTGGCCATCAGCAATAATATTTGACCTTTCCACTTCAGTCTCCAAAGAAACAGTTAAACATAACATTAATTTCATCCAAATCCAAATCAAAATCGCCCGGTGTGGCACTACGGGAGATCATTAAAATGCCGCATGCATTCCACTACTTTACTAATATCTCCACTAATCTGTTTCTCTAATGATCATTTAGAAGATTAGTTTCATATGTCACAACAACCCATTACCCATCCCCTACATACCTCACGTCAATTGTGGGGTGCAAGTTAATTAAGTTGACTTTGGAGTAAAAATTTTGTCATCAAAATCAATTAAACTTGCACCCTAGAATTAATGTTGCTACTTGCTAGGATGGGAGAGTTTACTAGAGGGGGTTATAAGGTAGGAACTATCAATACAAATAATAAATTTGTATAGTTTGTGTCCAAGCTGTTTGTAACTCTAGCCTTACTTAAAGCATGTCACCCCTAATTCACAAACAATCAAAATTTATGCGTTTGATATGATGAATTATGTGGAAGTTTATACAAAATAATTATATGATGGTTGAATTGTCATTTTTACAAAAAAAATTAAAGGGATTATATTAGTAAAATTTGTACTAAATGGTACTAAAGCATACACGTATGTTTTTTCCTAATATAGTATGTACCTACAATTTTTTATTTCTTAAATAGTACTTGAATAATGTCTAGTGGAGAAAATAATATCCATTGAAAGTGGAAATTTACTTTGAACAATGTCTACTGACGGTGAATATTTACTTGAACAATGTCCGGTGGATATTAAACAATAGTACTAGATTAAGAAATAAAAACGTATGGTATTAATTACATTAGGAAACCCGCTATATTTTTAAATTTTACATTCTCGTATTATAAGAGTACTATATTTAAAAGCCAAATGGACTTCATTTCAACACCCAAAGTCCGAACTCCACACAAGTTTAAAAAACATGTACTTGTATTAATTAGAAAAGAATAATATTTTGAAACTCTTTTACAAGATAAATCTAAAAAAATTATCTTGTATCGTCTAATAATATTTCCTCAATCCTACAAATCAAAATTTGTTTCAATTTGACTTTTGAGATGAGAAGTTGTAGAAGTTTGATCAAATTGAAATGACGATAATTGAAACGAATAAGGTTTAGAAAATGTCAAAATGGATATGGCGTGGAAGATAGTTGGGGTATGTATGTTAGATTAGATTTAAGAAAAGTAAAGACATTTATATTCATTTAGATCAAATGGAAAAGTTTATTGCGACATGTACGTAAAATGTGAAAATAAAATATTTTGTGGGGTGGAGGAATTGAAGTATAACTTTTCATCCGTATTATTATTATCATTATTATTATTATTATTAATTATTAATTCCTCTTATATCTCTCAGTTTCTTCTCCTTCACACCTCTTCTTTTTTTAAGAATATAGAGACACGCTGAGTCTTTTCTATCCGATATGTCATTTTATCATAGGGAAAATTTAATAATTTGATTATAAAAATTTAAAATTAGATAAACATTCTAGTATTATTTATATGCGGCATACTACGTACGAAGTAATTTTTATAAGCCTCATATTTAGTACGGAGTAGTAATTAGCACAACAATCTACATCACTCTCATGCAATATGGGGTTTCTTGCCTTTAAAATCATTTACTCCTGTCCCAAAAAGTACAAACCCAGTTTTAATATTTTTGGTCAACTTCCATATAAATAACTGATATAAAAATTTAATATTTCAACTCTACATTTTAAAATAAATTTAATTATATTAAATTTAGAGTACATTTCATAAATGATCTATAATTACGGGCATTTTTTCATATTTAGTCCCTCATTTTAAGATATTAAACAAATAGTCCTCAATTTTTAAAAAATATTCCATAAAAAGTGTTTTAGTGCAAATATACTACGAAATAGTTTTTAAAAATTGAGGGTCCTTTATGGAAATCTTATCTTAGAATTGATAAATACTACGTAATAAATATGGAGATTTAATTTATTTGTAACTATGGATCGGATCATTTATGGAATTTACACTTAAATTCATATTAACTACATATATTCTTTTTTACCATTTTATATACCTAGCTTGCATCTAACTCTTAGTTACTCTTTTTGTCTCATGAATTTTTTTTCCTTTTTTTTGTCCACAATCTCTTTCTCCTCTCTTCTAACATATTATTTTTACTCTTACTAATTCTCCTCTTTCTTATCACATCATATTTATTCACTAATAATTTATTCATCACATCCTACTTTTACACATTATATCAAGGATAATTTGAAAAGGTCGATAGAAAAATATTTTTCTTTTAGATCTCATAAAAATCAAAACAAGGACTTTGTGAGATGGAGGAAGTACGAAGTACGTAATTTTTTAAAATTGTGTTTTGGAAAATATATTGAACCTTTTGACGAAAAATGTATGTAAAACAAATTAATTAATTAATCATTAATTAATCAATAAAAATGGAACATGTTTATTCCCACCTCACTTTCACGAAAATCGAAATATTTGTCATTTTGTCGAAGAAAACAATAAAATATATAATTAAATAATTATTAATATTAGTAATAATCCGTATCTATTAGCAGGCAATTTTCGACGGGTGCAAGACAAACCCACACCACTGATTGAAAACACCCATATTTGGTGGTACAACATAATACATCTCAACCTCACCAACAACAATAATAATAACATGCAACAAACAATTTATATATATATACACACAATTATATATATATATATATATATATATATATATATATATATCTACTCCCATATCTAACATTTGTATAATCAATTATTAGTGGATGCACCTCTTCCCATTTTGCCCTTGTGTTACGATCACATCACAGATGACACCATCTTGTTTTGCCGACAATAGACAATTATTGTCTACAGGCAGGTGATTGTGTCTGGTGATGTCAACCTTCACGTCATCTCTGCTATCAGAGTGACGTTTCCTTTGATTAAAATATTGTCACATTGCCACCACTTGATCACCTCCGGGGTTGAAGCTAACTACATACCTTAGCTCCTACGTACCCCTCAAAAAAAGAAACATGCGCAAACGAGCGATTCGTAACGAAAATTTATGAAAACAGATCATACGTACGTCACAAATTTTCGTTACAAAATTGCATCATCGTCGCCATCGGCCACTTCTTCTCGACCGATCGATGTTATATCATCTGAGCATGGAGATGAGGGAGCAGAAGTCTTGTTCGTGGCAAGGGATAGTGAGGCCCATGTCGTGGCTGAACCCGAACTCCTCCTCGGCCCGTTGGAGAAGGCTCTGGAATTCGGGATGGCTCAGCCAAGAAATGGGGACGATGTATCGGCTCCGGTTCTCCCCCACGTATACCACAAAATGCCCCTTCGGGACGTCATGCGGAAGGGCATTTTCGTCATCTCCGTACCCGTGTTGTTTTTTCCCGAAACTCGAACACCTCTTGATGATGTGCTTTATGGCCGCGGGTTGTGTCACGCTCTTGGCTACCGCTTTCTTTAGGGCCATTATATAAAAGCGATCAAAATGAAATTTACGAATTATGATTAATCCAAATAATTAAAACTTGAATTTCTTGGATTATAGAGTATGATTTTGTGAATGGAGGGATTAAAGCTTTGTAGGAGATAGAATGGAGGGGATGGGAAGAAGAAGGAAGGGTATATATGGAGAGGGGAAGAAAGAACAAAGGCATGTGAAGTGTGGGGGCACAAGAAGTGATGGCTATGGATGTTTTGGGATTAGTCATGGGAATATAAGGCCATCAAGTCTCTTATTATACCCTACAATGTCACCTCTTCTAAGGACACTTTCATGGACCACTAACCCTATATTTAGCACTTTCTCTCTTTCTCTTTGAGCCCTCCATTTCCAAAACAAAGCTATGGTTTGACTTTATAGAATTTAAAAAAATTGTTAATTAATAAAAAATTAGGTGTTTGAGTTAGTAGAATTTGTTTAAAAGAGATCGAGAGAAACAATCACTTAATATGGAGTTTTTGTTTTTGCGAGAAGAAAAAAAGTGAGAAATTTATTTTTGGAACGGAGAGAGTATATAAAATTGTACTCACTTCTCTGTCATTTTGTACCTGTAGAGACTTCTAATCCTGTGCTTAATTATTTGTAACTAGAATAATTAGATCGGATAGAGACTTGATTAGGGCAACTTGCTAAGGTTAGATTAGTTAAATTAAATTAAATACGGAGTAGTATTTAATAATTTTATTGCATCAACATTGCCTTAAATAATTTTGTCCAACATGTTCGGATGTGTGTGTGTATTAGTGTTGAAATTAATTGGATATGTGTTACTAGATGTTCTCAATTACTCGGTACAATAATATTTTATAATCTAATAAAAATAATTGTTACACAGTTTGTATGATGGTTTTGTGCCCTGGTTTAACAGCTCCAAGTATTTGTAATGAATGTAAATGCCTAGATACATGCATAGATATGCATATGCTCAATAAACTATATCAACTAAAAATTCAAACGCGTGATAAATTTAGATATATTTAAGTTATTTTAATAGAACATTAATTTTTTTAACTGAATGAACGTGAAATTTGAACTCATGATTTTTATGTCAACAAAGTTATTGTATCGATCATGTGGAGATATTAATTATTTAACTAAAAATTCAAATAATAGAAAACTTGAGAGATAAAAAAAGAAAATTATGTTGCATATAATAAGACTAAAAGATAGTACGTTGACTATGTGTTATTCTCTTTACGACACATATATATATATATATGATATGCCATATATGTCCTCATTAGCAAAAAGTATTGGATAATGATTGATTATACAAATGACTCCACGAACGTAGTCATTAGTTATACATATGTCTCTACGAATATGATCATTAGCAACAAGTATTGGATAATGACAGATTATTTTAATGACTATTCAATTTTTTAATAATGTTTTATTCTACTTAAATTGTGTAATTGCTTATTTTTCTCAGAGGCAAAGCATTATAGAACTTTCTATTGTCAAACGTTAGAGTAGATAAGACTGATCCTATTTAGAGAAAAATAATATATTTAAGTCATATTTACGTAAATTGCCCTAAAAATGGTTTCTTTCCCCCATCCCTAAATAAAGATATTATTATTGGGACAATTCAACCCAATAATGTAAAGGTAATTAGTGGTCCGTACATGTAATTAGGATGAAGTGGTTGGTGGTTAATCAAAGAGAAGCCAGTGCGAAAAAGGAATGCAATTGAAAGAGATGCCTCGAAAAGGAAGCACTTCTTGTGATTCAACTTGCTCCATTTGTCTAATTTAATTCTTTGATTATAATTAATTAATTTTCTAAAAAAAGATTAATTACAAAATTGTACTTTTTTAAAAACTAGAGATGGATTATCATTATATATGAAGATAGAGATCAAGTCCGGGAGTGAACCAACTCACTCTCCTAATTAAACTCTGAAGTGAATAGATCGGTTGGACTTTTACAATCTAGAATGGTAGAATTGTATTAGCAGAAAATTATTTTGGGTACCCTTGATTTTCTGATAAAAATTTTAATATCTCACATCATTATTTAAAATATACTATGAGGTTCCTAAAAATTCGGGGCAATGTACTTCGGCGGCACATTCTGTCAATTTGGTTGCTAGGATTGAAAGTTTCGTAACTTTGACCAATCAAACACCAAAAAAAAAAGTTACTCTTATGTACCTCACATTTTTCAGTTAAGAACTCGCAGGTCTAATATTATTATATTTTACTTTGAATAATTATTATTTTATTAAATTTTAATAAAATATTTCAAATTCTAAGTTAAATAATTATTATCTTAGTTGTTACTGAGCATAAAAGAATTATTACCTTATTTATATTTTCATCACAAATTATAAATTTATATTTTAAAAAATCAAAGTATTTATAAATTTATAAATTTATTTATAAATTAAAGCATGTATAAATTTTTAAATATCTGAAAATCGTATACATGTATAATAAAATTATAAATTTTAATTATTAAAATATATCAAAAAAGTGTAAAAAAGGATTGAAAATTTACTTGTCACTACATGACTTGCCACTCCTCTCATTCTCCCACACGCTGACTTGATTGTTTTTTATTGGATGAAATGTGTCACGTCAACGTGTGACATTATGCTCTAAACCACATGTCTCTTTCCAAAGAAAAAAAGTGAAACAGCAAAAAAAATTATTTTAGAACATTAAAAACCGAAAGAAAACTTTTGGGAGTGGAGACGACGGCTTTTATGTTAGGTTATATGAATCTCGCATACTCCGTATATTAAATGTATTGACATAAAAATTAATTAAATCTAATAAATATAGAAATATAGAGGTTGAAGACTAACATTCAATAATTTTTCATAAAAAAAATTAGAAACTATTAACTACGAGTGCTTTTTTACAAATCGATATCTTTTTAGTGTGTATATAACTTTCATTTTCATGACTATTCCGAAATTAATAACTTTAGCATATAAAAGAGACTCTATCTAAAGTTCCTAAAAAATTCACTTTTAACTCAAAATATCATAAATATATATTTTGCGTAACATTTTACGAGTCCGTAAGCCTTTAGCCTTCTGTATGAAACACGGAATAATTAAAAATTAGTGCCTGTAATAATACACACACACACAGGGGTTGATTCAAGTAAAAATAGTCCTTACTGCGAGAATAGACCATATTGTGAGAATGATGCATTTTTATGCCTTCACGATGTACTTTTATATTGAGGTAGTGCATTTTTGGCACTGGGAGTAAAGTTCAACTTATTTACCATAATGCCACCACGTTTTTTCATTTTTTTTCTTTTTTTTTTTTTTTGAATTTTTCAAGCCCTTAAATCTTACATTTAGTGCACGATATGCATTCTTATATATATATATAACAAAATCAATAAGGCAGAGGAAATACTCCATGGAGGAGATGCATGCCAAGTGGGCAAATACATGAACCAACATGCCAAATTGTAACACCATGAGAAAACAATAAATATGTGAAAGCAACAAGTCAAAGGAGGCAGGCACAGATATGTGTAAAACAGGAAGCTGTGAAGATAATAAACCAGGAGGGGTTTGTGGTTTAATATAAGCAGGCAGCCTAATATTAATTGCTAAAAGAGAAGAAGCCTTCACATGCATGTTCCAAGGCCAAAGAGTGTAGTTTCCTTAGATGGATTCTTCTTCTCTGTGCTCCAATTTCCATTCTACATATAGAATTGTCTAAAAAAAGAATTGCAGTCCATAAGGTTTTCGAAATGGGCTCTAAGCCGAATCCTCTAGCGCATGCAACCCAATAAAGTCAATTTACCCATTCATAGACTCCAAAGAGACGCCAAAATCACACAAATAACGCGAGAGAATTAGAAACCAGACAAGGTCCTTAAACAATAGATGCCAAACATGATGCAACAACTATTCTTTTATTAGTTATAGGCTTTGAAAGTACAACCAACCAATGAGGCAATACAAACAATAACATGGGTACAACACAAAGGGGTTCGATCTCTCTTACCTTAATCTGCATCCCGAACTAAAGATGGGTAGCACGAAGTGCCATAACCTTGCATTGTTCATTCAAGGCACGAAGTTGGGCCTCTTTCTTGTCAAGTAAAGCCGTCAAACTCACATTCTCTTCCATTAGCTTTCTTACCTCAGTCTCTTTTTGCATCTTCTCACTCTCCAACTGGCCTGTTTTCTCTACGAGCCTGCACTCGCCAAAAGAGAATATATGTTTCAAAGTTATGTAATTTTTTTAAATTTAGTTTTCGCCTTTTTTTAAATGTTGAATTCTTCTACATTATTATGGTTATTATTATACATAAATAACAACAGAAAACTCAATATAATCTCATCCCATCTATGTCGGGGTCTTTGGGGGATCATTGCTGCATTTCCTACCCAAACATCATAGAAAGCAAGAAGCAAGAGAGATTAATGTGTTATTATGATTAAGTCCATTGTTTACCTGAAACTAAAACATTATAAAAAATGACTCTTTTAGCTCCATTGTTATTATACATACAGACAACCTTTTAAACACAAGAAGCATTATATTAAATATATAGAGTAATATTTTCTAAAATGATAATCCTTTCCCACTCAATTGAACCAAGGATAATGCTGATTGTGTTGGTTAATTCCAGTCCAGAATTAAGTTTAAATTTAAAAATAAAAAAAGAGACAGGCAGTTAGGCAGTTACTAGTTACAGTTTTTATGACAGTTTCCAATAGATGTGTTGGTTAGAAACTGTTGTGTCTATTTGTAATGGTTGTGTTGTTTAGTCCTCTATTTATATGTATGGACACATTAATCTGGACAGTAGTTCCACAATAATAAAACACTCTGTTTATATACTCCAGATCTGATTTTTATTCTTTCAGATTGCCAATGGAGCAAAAAGAGTCATTTTTTACAATGTTTTAGCTTGAGATAACTAATGAACTACATCAAAATGATCCATTAAACTTCCTATGCTTCTTACTTTGAAGTTTGTGGTAGTAAATGCAACAACATATTAAGGATCCAAGGAGAGCAGCCCTTCTGTTGCGTGCATCTTGAATTCTTGACCTCCAAGACCACAACAGAGTTGGATTATATTGATATATTTTTTTGCCATTTTATCAATGTTATAACTTGTTTGGAGAGAGATATAAAAAGAAAAAGAGTGAATATATATATATATATATATATATATATATATATATATATATATATATATATATATCTATTATCTAACCGTTCAAAGAGCCTTTCGATTGTCTGAAACTGCTTTTCAGATGAGAGGAGTGTTTCCCTGACACTAATAAGACTACTGACATATGACTTGAGGGATTCAAAGTCCCTCTTAACACGACAAAGCTCCTCCTCGTTTTCTGCAGCTCTTTGTCTCTGTTGATAAGTCTCTTCAACTAACTCTTCAACTCTTTGCCGCATCTCATTTAAAACACAGTTTGTGCCCATTGCAAATCTCTCCATCTCTTCTAACTTAAGTGACATGTCTTTGATTTGGAGCGTCTTTTTCTTAATCTCTTCCTCACCCACTGTCACCTTCCTCTTCTCCAGGGCAGTTTCTGATTCTGCCAATATTACCCTCTTGACAAGAGTTTCCATAACGTCCGTGACTGTTTGGACACAAGAAAGTAGTTCGGTCATATAGTCTTCGTCTTGATCGTGAACAGAATGTAGTTCACTAGACAGTTTGACCCATGCTTCATGATCTGCTTTGTCAAAAGCAGGGAGATAAACGTCTTTTGAAAATTCAGCAATTCCATTTCCATCTTGTTGTTTGATACCACTTACTATATTTTCCAAACGAGGAGCAGTCAAGACTCGGGCTTTCACTTTCAAATTTGTCATCAATGTTGTGGCAGTTCTGATTCTTTGCCACAGAACGTCTGGTTCCATCTTTTCACCTTCTTGTTTCGTATCAGTAATATATGTTTGGGTCAGTTCAGATTCAAGAGCTGACATGTCAAGACAGTCCTCTCCCGCCATAACTCTTTTTCTAGCATCAAAACACACACTTCAGTTGTTAGGGCAGTGACAACGGAAACTCAAAATAGCGATAGATTGAAAAAGTAATCGAAAAATCAAAACAATTCAAATCATGAGGCACTTTGGCTATGCTTTGGAAGTAGTTGGAACTCACACAAAAAAAAGATTATCGAGGAAAGTCATTTTTTTTGTTTTATGTTGGGAATTACAGTCTCTCTACATACACACAGTCACACACACTCCAGCTGCTTTTTGTGAGACTTTACTGGGTTTGTTCTTGTTGTTGGAAAATACAAAGGAAATAAAATATGATAAAAGCCATTTATGTTTTTTTACATATATATCTACATATTGGACTTAATACGTGATTTAGTTCCCCGACTACACATTACGGAGTATTACTCAATTCAGTCCTCAACTTTTTATTGAGCTAAATTTAGAACTATGAAATTTGGACCCAATTTAGTCCACAAATATGTTTGGCTGTAAGTACACGAGGAGTATTTTTTGCAGCACACTTAATTTAGACCAAATTTCAAACTCATTTTGACCCTCAACTATGTAATATGGATGCGATTAACTTCTTGCTCGGAGTGAATATGCATGATGACTAAATTGTTAGAGTATAAAATCTTTATTGCCCCTCCAAACATAAGATTGAATTTTTAGCTGAATTGGTTCCTTAACATTATAAATAAAATAAACTCGAAAACATATCTGAAATAGATGCATTGAGTTTGCGCTGCTTTTTATCAGACACGAAGAAATTTGAATACAGGAAAAGGTTAAAGCTTTTGGTTGAATTGATTCCTTAACTGCACGAATAAAATAAGTTTGAAAACATACATCTGAAATAGATGCATTGAGTTTGAACTACTTTTTACCAGTCGAAGGAATCCCAATGCAGGAAAACAGAAAATCATTTCAAATTCAAGAATCAACACAACAGCAAGAATAACCCAGTATAATCTGAACTCCATTGCTGCATTTACTTCCCAAAACTTCATTCAAATTAAGAAAGCTAAAAACTTTAATGTGCCCTTTAATTTAGTCCAGATATCAGAATCAAACAATTGAAACCAGCCATCAAGAATGCTACTAGAAGAGATTGAATCTCAAAAACCCAATACTCATTACAACCAGCAAAAAGAAAAGATATTGGAATAATCAGAATCAGCAGAAATTTGAAAAAAAAAATCTTGGGAAGAATGGAATTATAAAAGGATGGCACCTTGTTTGGGAAGAAATTTCGGAGCTTCAGATCGGAAAAGGATAGAGAAGACGACGACGGCACTGCGAGTCCAACGTCCGGTCGGCGGAGAGCTTCACGGAAGGGAAAAGAATGATTGACTTGAATTTGGTAAAGGCAGGTTCCTAGCTGTTTGACAATATTAATCCAAATAAATTTCCCACTTTCTTTAGTTTTGTTGTATTTTACTTAGGGATGAGCAATTTAACCGAACCGACCGCTAAACCGAATCAATTTAACCGAACTGACCGAAATTTCGGTTTCGGTTTCGGTTTTAATATATATAAAAATCGGTTATTTCGGGTTTTCGGTTTCAGTTTCGGTTCCGGGCAGTATTAACCGAACCCGACCGAAAAACCGAGCCCAATATATGTAATTATGTAAATTTTATATTTGTAAGCCCAGTCTATCAATTCAAGGAACAAAGCCCAGTCCAAAACCCAATTAATGACAGCCCATCACAAACATAGTGTTGCTGTCTAAGTATCTCTTTTGTGAGTCTAATCCCTAATCGCCTATTCCGCCTCCATCTACGGCGATACGACATCAGCCATCAAGGCTTTACGCCTTTAAGACGGAGATCAGACGACGATGCCCTTTGACCACGACGGCTATGGCATCTACTCCGATTTCTCCGCTGATTCTCCGTCGCAGCAATATGCCGGTGAATTATCTGAAGACTACGTTGAATTGAGTGCAGAACCTTACAGATTTTGATCGCCGGCAGATTTCGATCCTTGCCTGTTCCGGTAGATTTGGATCCTCTCAGTCCATCGACAGCCCAGAACCTTACAGATTTGGATCGGATCCGTACCAAGGACATCTAGCTCCACTTAGATCCTCGCTATTCCGGTTTCCAACGGGAACGGAAAGCCTATGAGCTTGGGGAAAACTCCGATGGGATTTACGTCTCCGATGGGTCGGTTATTTGAAAACCGACCGAACCGAATCAGTTTATCTCGGTTCGGTTTTTTCGGTTATAAAAAAATTTCGGTTCGGTTGGGTCGGTTAATGTGAGTCATTTTTATTTTCGGTTATTTCGGTTTTGGGCCGAAACCGACCGAACCGATGCTCTCCCCTAATTTTACTCCCTCCCTCCCAATTTGATTACAAATTGTACGGAGTAAAATTTTCTACTTTTTGAAATTATTTTATTTATAAATTGATATATTAATACAATATAAAAATTACATATTAAAAAACTATGTCAAAAGCTCTACAAAACAATAGGTGACAAGAATATTTTATTTTATCAAATACTTAATGAAATCGCGTAAACAAACAAAGGTTATTGAGGGGAGAGAAAGAAAAAATTGTAATCTATTCAAGGACGGAGTGAGTATGTATACCTGTTAGTTTGGTTTTTTATGTTTACTTCCCCATGATTTTGAGATTCACATATAAAATATGTAAAACATAATGACTTTTCTAATATAGGATTATATGTTTTTATTTTCCAATGTAGTACCTTTGGTCATAATTAATTAGTCATTATTCAAGTAAATGTCCATCATTACTAGACATTATTCTTCCCACTAAGATATTATTAAGTCCTATTTATGGAATAAAAAAGTTTAAATCTTACATTGGAAAATGACTTATGTTTTAGTCCTATTTAGTACAAATTTTACAATGTCAAATTTTTCACATTTTATGAGCTCATATGGAGATTTTTTATTTTTTATCTTGGTCTCGCATGCTTTCAAGTCTCGGACCTCTACCTAGAGGGCGATGCAGCACAAGAAGTTGGAATCCTCTTTGACTTGAATCATATCAAACTCAAATAAGTGTGCATCGTCACCATTTGACTTGTTTGATAAGAAACATGACTTAATTTTATCAATAAATTAAGTGAAGTTTGTACTAAATAAGACTAAAACATAATAACTTTCCTAATGTATGACTTAAACTTTTTTATTCCCTAAATATGACTAAATAATGACCTCGTGAGAGGAATAATGTCCAGTAATGCTAGACATTTACTTGAATAATGACTACTTGTTAATTCAATTAGACTAATATAAAATATTAACATTAGGTTCCAATAGTATTTATTACACATCACCGTGAGTTATGTCCATCTCTAGTCTATGACATAATTAAATAAAAATTATATGGTATATTTATTAGATAAAATAATATTTTAAAAATATTTTACTAAATAAATCTAATAAAATTATTTTTGAATGAATATCTAATATGAGTTTTATATGATTAATGATCGAATTTTTTGAATTTTGGGTGCGGATTAAAAATTGAAACTAGACAAAAACTCTAGAACAGAGGTGGTATTTTTTAACAAATCTTATTTTATATGCTTGTCTCACCATTTATACCTCGCATCATACAGTATTTGATTATGTACTCATTTAACAACGATTCAAACTTTGAAAACGTAATACAAAATAAAAAATCATTCTTATATTTTCCCTACAAACATTTCCACTATCAAAAGACAAATAATGTTAAGTTAAAAAATTTCAAGAAAAGAAAAAAATATTACGGAACATAAATAACTTTTTTTTTTCAAAATGTGATTTTTATTTACAAGAAAGAAAAATAATTAAGGTTTTGTTTTTCAAAAAAAAAAACATAAATAAATACACGCTGTATTTGTTTAATGGCGATTCGAACACTTGGACCCCAGCCTGAACCGCCGTCATCCGAGCTACGGAGCTCATCTGAAACGCGAGAGGAGACGGTTGATGCAAGGCGGCAACGGCGGCGGCGGTGGAGGAGGGTGCAGAGAAGGAGATTGGGAGTGCGGCGGATGTAGGAACAAAAACTACGCCTTCAGAAGCTTCTGCAACCGATGTAAGCAGCCCCGTCTTTTGGTAGACAACAAAACTCCTCCAGATTCCAAGTGGCTCCCCCGTATTGGAGACTGGATTTGCACGGGTACTTTTTTCGTGATTGTGTTCTTCCGTATTTTGGTGCGTTTCTAGATTATCTTAGCGTCTGTTTGCGCGATTTAGGGTTTATCCCACTCAATGATATCATATGCGCGATAAGTGTTTTTCTCAACTGGATTGGTAGAACTGTAACATTTGATAACGATGCGATGAACTCACTGTTATTGTGAAGTTTAACCCTGTAATCGTTTTTAATAAAACCATACCAATTGGAAAAAATGGAATAGAAATCATTCTCCCTCCATGTTGAGTAGTAAAGGGATTGGGGGTTTTAATTTATGTGTTCAATATTATTTTTATGGCCTGATCAATATGACTAGAAGTATTGAATTCTTATCCGTATCCTGGTTCTGGATTATAGCTAATGCTATCCAGTCCCAGTTTGGTTGAGAAGTTTTTGATAGAATAAGTAAGTGTGCAGTTAGTCGAACTCTTAGGTGAACTAATTTCTCCATGTCTGCCACGATGGTTTTAATGTCTTCTATCATGTAAATTCCTTTAGAAATTTCATTTCGGTAGGTTAAGGTATTTCATTTTTTCACTATGTATTGTCATCTTGGATGCGGGTTGGCGTGCGTATTCTTGGATTATTTCCTCTCTGGTTGGGTTGTGCGTTGTGTGTGTGGAAAAATGGCCCATAGGTTGCACTAACAACAACTATGCATCAAGAGAGAATTGCAAAAAATGTGGACAACCAAAGGCGGTGGCCTCAATGCCAGCAGTTTCAATTCACGGTTCAACTCTCCCTACACATCCAAATTATTTTTCTGGGGTAAATGGACAAGCAATCCAACATGCGCCATTGCCAACCTCCCAGTGGTCTTCTTTAGCACATGGTGATCATTATGCAGTGCAGCCAGCTTCTACGTGGGCTTTGTCTGGGAGCAACAGTGCTGGAGTTCCATATGCATTTGCAAATGGGTGGCGTCATGGTGACTGGTTTTGCAAATGTGGGTTCCACAATTATTCTTCTCGGGCACAGGTCAGTAGGTATTGATTCTTGATTGGCACTAAACCTAGCTCACCTCCATAAGATCCTTAAGATGTTTGGTTTTACCTGACATACATTACTAGACTCAAATCCAGCAAACAGTTGATTTGGGACATTTAACCCATTCTAGCTCAAACCAATCCCGGCTGGGCAACTGAAGGCTGGATAAATTAGTCCAAACAGATAGTCAGATACTCAAACTGGCTGCCCCAAACCGATGGGTTAATAGGTGCCCCCAAAACCACCATCATACCGCTTGACATGGCTCTAACAGACTGACACACCCAACAAGATCCTCAAGAAGTGATCTTTTCCTCACATTTTATATATTCCCTCAATCCCTCCGTATCATAAAAGACTTGACAGCTTGACAACCACGGATTTAAGAAAGTTGTTGGAATGTAAAGTGTGTGGTTAGAATTTGTTTAGAGGAGAGGAAATTGTTGGTAGCCACATATTCATTACCAAAATAGGTTATGGAGTGTAAAGTTCTTTTGGGACGTCTAGAAAGAGAAAGTGTAAAGAGTTTTTTTGGGACGGAGGGAGTATTAGATAACTGATTTGGGATACTCAGCAACGGGTCAGTTGAGTTTTTGGCCTAAAGATTACCGAAAGTGACATGTGTCATGTAAGTGGGCTTTCATTTGGTAGGGTATCTCAATTTCATTCTCTTGCAGTGTAAACGGTGTGATGCTTCTCTGCCACCATCTTCGGCCTCTTCTTTCAGCAGCTCAGCAGTTACAGGTGTGTTTCCATGTTTTGCTTATTTCATTTCACTGAACAGGTCCACAAACTGTTCTTTTTTGAACTTGTCTTTTGGACATCATAATTTAAAATACCCAGCTAAGGATTTTTCTTGAATCATGAAATTGCAAAGATTGAATTTTTTATCTCTTGAGTCTTGAACAGTTCTATTTTTTAAAAATCACTCATATATCTTCATTAATTGTATGTATATGTGTGTGTGTGTGTGTGTATATATATATATATTTATGTATGTGTGTGTGTGTGTGTGTGCGTCGTGTGCGTGTGCGTGTGGCTCTCCTGGCCCTGTACTTTTGGCTACCTTGTGGGGACATTAGGTGGTACTTTGTTTTGTTTTTTATTTGACCACTTACCTACTTTGCTGTGCTGATCTTTTGAAGTTACTTTTTCTATTTTAATGCTTGCCATTAATCCCAAACCATTTATTTCACCACACCGTTCACCTTTGGGTGCCTTCTTTCTACTTCAAAAGTAGCTCTAAAATCATCAAGATTTTCAAAAACTTTCTTGTTTTCCATATCTAACTTTCCAATTTTTCTTAGTGTGGGTCTTGATGCGGAAAACCTCTCTTTTCCCAGGAATATAGGTAAGGTTTGAATGCATATCACACTCTCCAGACCTTATGTCCTTGTTGGATAAATTGTATATGTTTGGTTTTGTATGGCTTATATTGTTTCCCAAATTATTGTTTTCTTATGAATAAATAGACTTGGATGTTAAAAAAGAAAATGCACAATTGAGTAGTGCAATTTTACTAATCTCAACTTATTTTCTCTCCAAAGTTGAAGGAAATAAGTTGAAAAGTAAGTAAAACTTATTGTTCTTTCTCCTCTTATTTTCCACTCATTCCAAATGGGGTGGAAGCTAAAATATTATTATTATTATTATTATTATTATTATTATTATTGTTGTTGTTGTTGTTGTTGTTAGAGTAAATTCCATAATTGGTTCTTTATAACAGGGGGGTTTCCATATTTAGTCCTCTATTACCAAATATTACCCCCGTAGTCCTTTTTTTAAAGGTACCTTTCCACAAATGGTCCTTTTTTTGATCTTCTGCCGTGTTGGTGTTAATTTAAAGGCTAAAAGTATAATTTGACATCAACATTATGTTTAGTGACGTGTCCTGATATTGGTTAAGCTGATAACACAAAAATAATGACTATGATTGTGGGCTAGGATAATGACGAAAGACCATATTTGTAGACTATGGTTGTAGTAGAAAGCGACTATAATTCACAAACGACGCAAACGGAACAGCCTTTGGAATTGTGTATGACAAAAAAGATATATTATCATTGTGAAATTACACTTTTAGCCTTCAAATTAACACCAACATGATAGAAGATCAAAAAAGGACTATTTGTGGAAAGATACCCATAAAAGAAGGACCACTTGGGTAATATTTGATAATAGAGGACCAAATAGGGAAACCCCCGTGTTATAAAGGACCAATTATAGAATTTACTCTTGTTGTTATTTTTCATATTTCATTCATTCCAAATACATAGTAAACCTGCTTCTCTGGAATGACAAATTCACGCTTAAACTGATATCCTGTCCTATGTTTTTTATATCATTGTGAAGCTCTTGGGACAAAGCGTCTAGCATCAGAAGAACTTGTTCGTGACTGGGAAAACAAGAGGCTAAATGCTGGACATGTGAGAAACAATACCTTCATATGAATTTCAAAATTAATTATGCACGTATCCTTTTGACTTTGAAATTTGGGCTGCAGCCATCATACTCGACCTTTGGAAGTGGAAACACGATGGAGCTTTTGAATTTGCATGGCAACCTACATACGCTTCCTGCAGCACCCACACTCCTTGGGAAGGGGTAAAATGAAACAATTTTATTATTTTGATTTTTATGTTGACTACTAACACGAAATACCATTAGAAACATTTGCTCTGATTTTTATGATTTATGAAAACTACACGCATTGGACTTAAACATATGAGTACCATTTTTCTGCAAATACGTAGTACTACTCAAGCATGCCATTCATTTTTCTAAAATAGGGCTTAAAAGTAGGTGATGCATCAAAATACCCCATAGGTTCAGTAACCACCTCTTTCTAGCTCCTGTTGTCAACTAGTTTTTCATGGTTGTCATCATCGGCTCAGTTGCCTGTCTAGTGCTGTTATCTTCAGCTTTAAACTTCTTGAGACTCCATATTTTAGTTGAAATTGAAGCAGTGTCTAAGCTCTATTATCCAGACTCCTTGTTTATTCGATTATCTACAGTCATATTTGAGGCTAACTTGGAAAACTATCATCTTTTTGTGCACATTAACATTTGGAGTACCAGACAAGAAGGCCTAAGGCCAGAGAAGGGGGCAAAAGTTTTAACTACAAAGCAATGATAGGGCCCAAAAGTCATCTTTATGCATTGTAACCTAGAAAATAATGGGAAAACTGAAATTTTAAATTCCAGAAATCTAAAGAGTGAAAAAAGGAGGGTTAGACCTAGAAACAAAAGTGATTAGGATTCAAAATAAAACTAAGATTATAATATAGTCTATAGAGAGAGCAACTATTAATCTACTGTACATGAAATCTCCCAAGCGTATGAATTCAAAAATGTACTTAATGTTAGAACATGGAAAGACACATCAGCAATTTAGCAGTTCACATCCGGGTAAATTAGGATAGTTGATCATTCTTTATGAGTAGCTAGATTCACGTGACACTTCTTTTAGTTCAGAGGCTTATGTGATGAATTGAAAATAGTAGATTAGTAGGAGGGCTTATATGGTTTTTTCTCTAACTAAAAGTATCATGTATACATTAAATAGTTAATTCTTCAAGGCAGAATAATGCTGTCCAATGTGCAATCTTTTGTTCCTGAAATTAACTCAGTATTTCACTTGCAGGGCAAAACAGTGGCGCGATGGGGATTGGATGTGCACGAATTGCAATAATCACAACTATGCATCTCGGTCACAATGTAACAGGTAATTTCACTATGTATTTTATCATTCATATATCAATACTCAATTGGTCTCAAGACAAGGTTCGTACTTTCCATTATTTGTCCATCTCAAGATAAGGGCTTTCTTCCTTTAAAAGTAAGAATAGTGTGGCTCATGCTATTTCAACCTACCCAGTGAAGTCCACTATTGAGGTGTTAGAGAGTGGGTCTACTCAGACCTTACCCCTACCTATAAAAGCTAGAGAGGCTACTTCAAATAGACCTCCAGGCTCCGGCTCACAAGGACAAAAGAAACAGATTAGAATATGGGTTTAAGAAGGTTTGGAGTTAGGTATGATACATGAAATTGGGTGTTAAGTCTGTATTCAGGAATAACTTTATGGTTTTAGATCACATAAAGTCGGTGACGGCGAACAGTTGTTCAAATGAAGGAATGGCTGCCAAACGGGAGGGGATTGGGGGTGCGATTGATGTATGTGTTTAAAGCCTCGAGGGGATTCCTGGGAATGACTTTTTGGGAATTATTTTCATTAACCAAGAACAATGTATGTGTATGGAATTCCAATGCCTATACCTGAACTGGTAAGCTTTTGTGTGTTTGTGCTTGTACAGGTGCAAAACTCAGAGAGAGACGAGTGCCCAACCGGTCAGTGTTGTCTAGTTCTCAGTTCAAAACAACGTTTCATTATCTTGCAGCTTCATTGTGGTATACTCTTGAGTACTCATCTTTCTCCCTTGTTTTTCTGTTTGATGTTGGGAATGAGGTTTGAGTGATTCTGGTTGGGAGTCGAAGGGGTTTTTTTTCCTTCTCCATCAACATTGTTGAAGACGAGAATGGGAATATTATTTTGAGATGGAGATAGGAATTTGTTTGTGTTATTGTTGTCTAGCTTCTACTATACACAGAGTATGTTAATTTTATTGCTAAAGTTTTCTTGAGACATGACTATCATAACTATGTCGATGCTGTTTTTTTGGGTCTCGTTATACTTTTCGTGCCAATACAAATACTTTTTTATCAAGGTTCTGGTGGATATACTTTCTCGTAATAATCTTGGCGTGATCAATTTCGTGTGAATCCCACTCCTATCATGTATATGAGCTTTGGTGGTCCGAGCTTAAATATAATTATTCCGTATTAAATTATAGAATGGATTGATTACATTGAGGCTCCGTTTGGTACACGAAATTCAAACTATGAAATTGGAATTGGGGACAACAATTCTAATTCTGTTGTTTGGTAGCACAAAAATATGTGGAGAATTCAATTTTATCCAAATCAATTACATAGAATTTCAACTCTCAATTCAATTCCAATCCAATCAGTTTCGTGTACCAAATGGACCTAGAGTTTATTTCACTATACACATTTGTATCAGTTGAAGGGCATTTGGTGTAGAGCTTTGTTATTGTCTTCTTGCATCGATTTGAGAGTATTACCCCACTACAAATACTACCACTAATGTTGCGGTAAAATATTTCCTTGAAAAGTGACCCAATTGTTACCAAAAGGATGAACTTCATCCCCGAGGATTCCTCAAAACCGGTTGGACGGGTCACTTGACTTAAGATAAATTGAACTTTAGTACTCCCTCCGTCCCAAATTATTTGCCACATTTGCTTTTTCAACAATCGCGGGAACTTTTGTTTATTTCTACGTTTTAATTGGTTATTTGATAAAATAAAATATTCTTGACACCTCTTATTTTGAAAAACTTTTCATGTAGTTTTTTGATATGTAACTTTTATTTTTTATTTCTTTACCAATATGTAAATAAAATGAATTGAAAAAAACTTGATATTTTGCCTCGGTAATAGAAATATGACAAATAATTTGGGACGGAGGGAGTAAGAGATTGGTGGAAGCAATTGTTATGAACACACAAAGAATGGTAGGGTAGCTCTTGTGAAATTAATGATGTCTATTGTTAAGTCTATCATAGGGTGTCCTTGGCAAACAACATTTAGCATGACAGTTGGTATATAGTGTGTCTCCGTACCAAAGGGAATAAAAGATGTTCTCATAAGAAAATGACACTTGTTCTAAAGTAGTTTCAAAAGTGATTTTAAAACTGCCCTCCTTGGGGTCCTCATACCCCGGCCTCACAAAGTAATGGGGAATAAATTAGAGTATAATCTTAGTCTGGTTATTCGAGAGACAATTTCATGTTCGGTGTACCCGAGGAATTATCACACTCGATAAAATTCTTACACTGTCATTGTCGAGAATTGATCCTGAGACTATCTAGGCTACTCGTGGGGGGAAGAAATGAATTAAAAAATTTTATTGAGTGCGGAGGATTGATTATTTGACGGCACAAAATAGAGTTTATGTTGTAGTTGAAGGCGTTTTTCAATGTCTTAAAATTTTCAAATAAAGGAAATAATGATAATTTCAAGATATTCAAATATGGTAAGTGAGAAGATAGTTTTTTAGGCGGATTGAATAGCAGATGAGAAATGTTTGGTTCACAAACACAATGGTCACAAACTTCACAAACTTACTATTTGTGAACTTCAATGAAAAAAATTAAATGGTCTAAAATGATTTTAAAATAAAATTTTAAATCATAAATAGTAAGTTTGTAAAGTTTGTGAATATTCTGTTTGTGAACCTAGCACTGCTCATAGCAGATAACAGTTTATATTTTGTGTTAGTATGTTCAACTAGCTATTTGCAAAACTTGTTTGATAATATATGTCAATATTAACTAAAATGTAGTAATATCAAAGTGATGTATGAATGTTTATATTATTACAATCTCCAGATTAGCATTTTGTTTATTTTGAGTAGTTGTTTTGGATAAAAAAAATCTCAAAAAGAATTAGCAAAATCCTGAGTAAATGTTGTTCATAAGCATGACATAGCTTCTTAATACCTAGTTATGGTATAAATATCACAAGACCAAAAGATGTAATCTTAAATCCATCTAAAGCTGTCGCATTGTATTAATGCAATTAATAGAAAAAAGGGTTAATAGCAGTGTTTACAAAAAAGGCGTCAAAACCCCTTTGTTTTCAAAAGTTATTTGTAAGGTCCTTGTGGTTTCTAAATAGAGCACACATGCTCCCCTTACCTATTTTTAAAGCAAAAATGACATGTATGCCCTTTGTTTTCCCCGATCTTGAATTTTTCCAATTTCAATTTCATTTATTATACAAATATATAAAATAAAATATAAGCTTCCCATCTCAAATTAGAATTTTTCATAATGTACTTTTGAAAACAAAAGATTTTTTGGAGAATGCTACAAAAAAATGAAAAATAAAATATTATGTACAAAGTAAAAAGTAATAATAGTTAAAAAAAGGTAATGAAAAGAAATAAAAATATAAAAAATAGTCTTTTTCTTTAGCTCCATATTTTATTTCATCTTTCTGTTCTTCATTTTTAATGTCCTTAAAAAATTATTTTACTTTTAAAAAACAAATAAGTTAGAATTTTTAATTAGAGATAGAGTGAGTATATGTTATCCAATTTTTTATTTTATTTATTTTACTTTTACTTATAATGAAAAAGTGTATTTTATTTCATTTTTGTAACATTTTCTAAAAAAAATTATTTTTTTGAAAATTAAATAAATAAAAAATTTTAATTTGAGAAAGAGAACGTATATTTTATTTTATTTATTTGTATAACAAAAAATGTAAAGAAAAGAGTGAAATTTGAAGATAGAGAAAAACCAAGGGCAGAAATGTCATTTCATGTGCAAAATAGGCAAGAGGGGGTGTTTGTACACTATTTAAAAACCACAAGGGTTTTACAAATAACTTTTGAAAATAGTGGGGGTTTTGGCGCCCCTTTTCTAAACCACGGGGGGTATCTATGCTATTATCCCATAGAAAAAAGGGAGAAATACGAATATAGCACTTTAATAGGCTTATAATGCGCAAAATAGCAGTGCTATAAGTTTTTGAGATGAATTCCCAATATTACCCTTAATTAAACAAATTTGTATTATATATACACTGCCACAATATATATACACTGCCACAATATATACACTGTCACAATATATCTACACTGCCACAATATATACACTGCCATAATGTTAGCCACAATATGTACTTCCAAAAATTCAATGTCTGAAATACACTGCCACAATATATGCACTGCCAAAAATTCAATGTCTGGAATACAATGTCACAATATATACACTGCCACAATATATCTACACTGCCACAATTCGGGCAATCACAGAGCATACTTCTCATAGTTTCTAAGAAAGTATTTTAGTTTGTTTATGAAGAAAATTAAATAAATATACTTTCTGAGAAGAACAAGGATTCTGAGATTTTTGAACAAATTCATGCTGATAACGTGTTGTAAAATGAGAGAAAAACTACTCAGAAATTAAGAGAATAGATATAATATAATACACTGCCACAATATATACACTGCCACAATATATACATTGCCATAATGTTGGCCACAATATGTACTTCCAAAAATTCAATGTCTGAAATACACTGCCACAATATATGCACCGCCAAAAATTCAATGTCTGAAATATAAATCCACAATATATACACTGCCACAATATATCTACACTGCCACAATATATCTACACTGCCACAATATAAAGCTTCCATGAGTATCCCATGTCCCATCAACACGTAGCAATATCGTCAAATTTGGACCCATCTGTGATGCTCCTTTTAAATAATAAAAGAGAAAATATTCAATTTTTAATTTATTTCCTTACTGGAGTTTCTTATCTGCATATATATTGGATTATACGCTACTTTTACGACCTAAATTACCTCCACGTGAATACAAAAACACATCGTATATATATACATGATAGGTGTTTTAGTCACATTGCAAACTTCAGAATATTAAACACATACATATTAATCTCATCTTTCTGCATGTGTGCAAGTTTTTGGCCGCCGTTAAAAAACTAACGGCCACTAAACAGGATTTTTTGAAGATACATATTTTTGGAAAATAAATGAAAGGTGGGATTATTTTAAGTAAATTTATTTTTTAATTTTTTGACATGCAAAGTTTTTTTAAGAATAAGAACCAAATTCAGATATTAAGGATTAAGGAAATAAATAAAACTGAAAATGCAGGACAACATTTAGGCATTTAATCTTCACACTGCCCACACCATAGCACATAATCTTAACACTGCCAAAATCACAATGCCTTTCAAAAGACCTAATTTTTCAAAAGGAACAAATACTAGGTATTTCAAAATTGATTTCACACCACCTAATCTTCAGTACGAATAAAACACAATAATTAAAACTAAAAATACATGGATCCGAATAAAGGGATGAAGGAATGAAAATTAAAAATTGAAGGAGAAGAGAAAATGATTAGCCACATCGATGAAGGAAGTGGAGATAACCTGATGATTGCCGCTGCTGATCGGACCAGGAATCGTGGGAGAAGGCCTGAGGATGCATGATGGCGGGCGATTGAAGGAGAACGTGCGACCGAGCGCAAGAAGAGTACGTGCGGCCTAGGGAGTGCCGTAATTTTTAATGAGAAAAAGAAAAAAGGTAAAAGGGCATGATAGGAAAGGATTGACCCCAAAAAAGTGCTAAATTTGTTAAAAAAAACAATGAGTAGTGCTAGATGCGTAATTTAGGGTGAGTTAGAGTGCTATGTAGGGTGATTTCTTTAGAAAAAATTGTGAAGATAGTACTTGTGGAAGGAGACGTTAGATTCGTGTAACATCTTATTCATATAAATTCGTCAAAGATAATATGTGTTTGTTGTACCGATTCACTTTGAGGTTTGGTAAATGTATATTGTTACTTCTCATGGTTTTTAAACTTACGGTGTTACCCCTCGTCATTCTAATATTGCTATATTAATGTTTCTTTAGATTAAAATATCTTTCAAATCTTAGGTGAATAACTCTGTTTCTCTCAATAGTTTTGGAAATAGAGATCAACGCATTCTTTCTTTTTTTCTTTATTGCTTTTCTTTTTCTACTGTTTTTTCATAAATGTTTTTTTAAATTTTCTTTATTAAAATTGTTTTTTATAATGTTTTAATAATCAATTTTTTTTGTGTTTGCGATAAGAAATCAACTAAATAAAAAAAATTAACGTATGTTTCATTTGTCTCAAATTAAATAGTTTCATTTTTTTTCAAAAGAGGTCTTTATCAGTTCGTTTTCATGATACAAAAATCAATGAAAGATTCTCTTTTTACACTAAAGCTCATTTCTAATTTTCTGTTCATTAATTTATACTGTTTTTTTAATTTTAATCAAAGTTAAAATAAAAGAAAAATGAATAGAAAAGAAAATAAAGAAAAAGAAAAGTATATGATAAACTTTTATTGAATAGAAAGAATTAACTATTAATAGTAGTGGCAAATGCTCATTTAACATATATGAAAGTTAATGCAAGAGTTTTTTATTACTCCCTCCGTCCCACTATCTTTGTGCACTTACCTTTTGGCACATCATCCAATGCACTTCTTTAATCCATTTTATCTTGTAATTTGTATATTAAAAAATTATAAAAATTATATATTAATAATCTATATGTTAAGATGAATCAAACAAGATCACACATGACTATTTTTAGGCTTACACATTGAGAGAATTTGATGAGTCAAAGTGCTTAGATGAACAGTTCCAAAAGTCGAAACTGGACAAAGACAATGGGACGGAGGTAGTATTTGTTAACCGCTATTCGTCAACACACAAAAGAGATCAGTAAATTCTTAGATAAATTCAAGAATCACATAAAAAATTTTGAACCTTCTTAATAATTGTATAAAAATTTCAATAATATTGTGAAAAATGTTTGTTTATTTTTTATTCTTTTACCTGCGCATGAAAGTTTATGAAAGTTTATGTATTACTCTTTTTTTCTATAAAAAGTTTTATATTTCTTTTTTTCATTCGTTCAAAGTAAAAGTTTCGCTTTTCACATTTGGAAAACTATTTGACTTACAGAGTATTATTTTTCTCTCTTTTGAAGTACGGAGAACTTTTAAGCATATAATATTACTCTTGTTAATATTATATTGATCAATTATAAAACATTATTGTACTTTAGTCCATTGTGGAAGTAGTCAAAGAAGTACATATTTTCATGGGTTCACATCCTCTAATTCTCTAATATTGAAAAGAGTAAATTCCATAATTGGTCCTTTATAACAGGGGGTTTCCATATTTAGTCCTCTATTATCAAATATTACCCCCGTAGTCCTTTTTTAAGGGTACCTTTCCACAAATGGTCCTTTTTTTGATTTTCTGCCGTGTTGGTGTTAATTTAAAGGCTAAAAGTATAATTTGACGTCAACATTATGTCTAGTGACGTGTTCTGATATTGGTTAAGCATATAACACAAAAATAATGACTATGATTGTGGGCTAGGATTCTGACAAAAGATCACATTTGTAGACTATAGTTGTCATAAAAAGCGACTGTAATTCACAAACGACGCAAACGGAACAGCCTTTGGAATTGTGTATGACAAAAAAGATATATTATCATTGTGAAATTACACTTTTAGCCCTCAAATTAACACCAACATGATAGAAGATAAAAAAAAGACTATTTGTGGAAAGGTACCCATAAAAGAAGGACCACTTGGTTAATATTTGATAATAGAGGACTAAATAGGAAAACCTCCCTGTTATAAAGGACCAATTATAGAATTTACTCTATTGAAAACTACTCTTTACTTTAATTCAAGAATGACATTTGTGCCCTTATCCTAACACAGCTTACTTCTCTCATACGGAGCATACTCTTTCTTCTCCGTCCCTTTGATCAATCAACTCGCTACTGGTAACCGGCTCACTGAGTGACTCAGTCCGCCATGGCAGGGCAGCCGAGAACTCGAATAGACGACGGAGACGACGACTCTTTCTTGCTCAATTATACCGCCGACGAACTCCGCACAGCTTCCGAGTTCTTCGCCAATTGGATTCCTTTTCTCTCCCGAGGGCTCTGTCGGTCATGCGCCCGCACTATCTCCGATCGGGTCCGATCTCTCGATCACGGTACTCTCTCTCTTTCGGCGGTCAATTGTGCAGTCCCTAAAACAGTTTTCCTTTTACTATTTACTTTCTTTACAAATATGAATTTTATATGGGTAGTTTTTATATCAATTTTCATATAAATTGAGTTGAAAATAAGGTCATTCAAATAAGAAAGGAGTAAGAATAGAAATAATATACTCTGTACATTTCTTCAAAAAAAGATAAGTCTATAGTCCCTTATATCATGTGCCTGAAGAGAAATAGTAACTGAAAAAAGAAGACTCTTTTCTTTTGGGAATTTCTTCACAGACCCAATGGAATTGTAATTATTCTTATACTGGTTATTCCTGTTTAGGATATTTCAGAAACAGGCTTTACCTATTCGGTTAAGAACTGCATACACCCACCCACCCAGACCCCACTTGCCTAGATTAATGATTAATTGGTTTTTGTTGTCGTTGGTTGTGGTGGTAATTCATATTTGGATTTTGGAGGTTTTACTGTATTGATTATCTATTTATTGTAACTTCTGCAATAGTGCTTGGAGAAGCCGGTAAGGATGTAATATGCACCAAACGGAAAGAGGATGTTGGGGCTTCGACATTAGGAAGTAAGGATTTGACTGGATATTGGGGTAAAACAAACTCTGATACTTATTCCATTGGGAGTTGGAATAATGCTTCGGATATCAATGACCATGATCATGCTGACACACATTCACTGGGGAGTTGGAAGGAGGAGGGAGATGGGTCTCCAGAGCATGTGTTTGAGCCTTCTACTCAAACAGGATTCTGTATGGATGAGCCATCACAGACATCTGGTGGTGGTGGTGGGTGTTTGAAGAGTGAAAAATTGAGCACCCCTTTCTTGGTTGGAATCCCTTTAAAGCAATTTGAATTTTCTTTTTGGTCAATTTATATTCATGGTTTCCTTTTTGGTAACTTCGTTTTTGTATGGAATATCAGCGAGGGACAAAGATGTCATGGGCAGATATGGCTCAGGAGGATGAGCTGGGGACAGAGCAAGGGTCTGGTTCAAGCTCACATTTTCAAAACACGAATAGCTTGTCTAGGGAGGAGGGAGCGTCTGGGGATGAGTCTAATAAGATGAAAACCATGTTGTCAACGGAGCAAGGGGAGTACATCCGGTTCTGTAATGTGAAGAGGAAGAAGGATTTTATATGTTTGGAGAGGATCAATGGGAAGATTGTGAATATACTTGATGGCCTGGAGTTACATACAGGCGTTTTCAGTGCCGCGGACCAAATCAGGATTGTTGATTATGTGGAAACACTCAACGAGATGGGAAACCATGGGGAACCAAAAGGTTTCTTATTTATCCTTGCACACTATTTTCTAAATAATTGAATTTCTACTTCTTGCTATAAGTTTCTCATATGTTGCATGCAATAATAGATGTCTGAGCTGTTTGTTACCAAATGCCTGAAGGTCTAGTTTCATATTGTGATGCATGGGTATTTCAATTTGGCAAATGCCCCTTTGTGCAGCTGAGTCTGAGTACATACCTTTTTTTGTTTTACTTTTGTTTAAATGAGCATGTCTCAGTACGGCTAGGTACATGGTTTAGTCAAAACAATGTAGCCTAGAGGCTTACTTTCACTTTTTCCTACTTTTATTGTTCATTCCAAAACCCTGCCCTCTCTTTCCACTACTCTATTTTAGACTCCGGTGACCCAAAAATTGACTGTGCTTTAGTATTTTGTTCAATTTGAGCTTCTCTTGAATTAATCGTGGATCAATTCAAGCTCTGCTTATGTTAAAGTTAGCGTGTTTTCTGATTTATCTTATGGAACTTAGCTTTTATAATATGAAAGCATTGGATTGTTGAATATTTAATTGGAATCTTTTCCTACCAGAATTTCAAATACCCCAATGCATCTTGAGTTACATAGGTCAAGTCATCAAGTGTAATTGCATGGTTCAAAACTCTAGCTTCATAGCCTGCAATTTCATTTTTTTTTGCATTTTCCCTGGTCATTTCCTGCAATATTGTCTAGTAAAAATAGTAATGATGTGCTTTATGCTCTTTTGAATGGAGAAGGCAATGGGCTCAGCTTCAAGTTTTGAATGGTAGAATCTTTTACTGTATTTCCTTTGTAAGTTAAAGTAAGAAAATCAACCTCTGCTATGGCTGAGACATTACAAAAGCCTTTTTTATACTCCGTAACTTTTTGGTACTTAGTAGTTGGGATAGAACCATCATGATTTTGAAAAAAAATCTTGGCCAAATTTTGAAAATTTTACACCTCTACCATTAGCCTACTTTTGCAACTTGAAAGTGAAAGGACAACAAAAATATGTCTTGCTGGACAAGTTTGCTGGTGATTCTCCAATTGTCTTTAGTTTATACTTTTATCTAGTTCGGTCATGAGTCATCTAGGGTCTATTGGAAACAACTTCTCCATCCTTTATGTGTAGAAGTCAGGTCTATGTATATCCTACCCTCCCCAGACCCTACTTGTGGCAATACATTGGGTTTGTTGTTGTTGGTCATGAGCATTAGATTCTCCCTAGACATGTTTCTTTTGTAACATTTTTATTTTCTTTATATGTAACTATAAAAACGCTTTGTATATTTCACTAGTGGCTTTTTTGAATGGTTATTGTTCTTGTTTGGTTAAGGTATTAGATTTCTATTCTAATTTGGTTTAGAGTCGTTATTTCTCTACAAAAGCATTGTAATAGTCTTTTGAAGGAAAAAGTTGTAAATTAAGTCACATCGGTAATAGTAGTTTCTTATTTTACAAGATTATTGTTTGAGATGAAACCCCTCAACATACTTCAAATTAGCCCTGGTTTCTGTCACCTCCACTCCCACCCCAACCCCATCCCCGAAAATTGCAACGTCATATTATTAGTATAATATTAGTATGCTTCCCGCCACCAACAATGTAGTGCTTTTCGTTAGAGATTATAATGTAGATGACGAATGTATCAATTGATCGGATTATATCCTTCTTTTCATTTACTATATTCAGTAAGGCATTGCTAATATTACAAGACTTTATTTCATTGCCTACGTGAAAGACCTGGGTTATATTATAGTAATCTCCTTGAGGCTTCTTTCATAAGTTTCAACGCTGATGTAACCTTTTCATTTTTCTTATTTATTTTCTGTGATTGATCCTCACTTCAAACAATGTTGCAGAGACAACTTATACTGCACCAGAAAAGTGTATGGATGGCAGGGGGCGAGTGACTTTTCAATTTGGTTGGTGTCCCAACTATGCAACGGTAAGCAATTTATCAATGCAAACCTCTTGTGCATAAGCTGAAATTTTATGTTAGCATTTAGCAGGGACAAAACATTACCCCAACTCCCCAAGGAATGTGTTTTTCCTGATTTTTTAAAATTTCTTATTATGGAGTATCTTGCATTGGATGTCTACTAGGGTATACTCCCTCCATCCCAAAATCATCTTTCCACTTTTCCCTTTTTGGACATCCTAAAATAACCTTCTCATTCTTTTTAAGGATATAAAGGATAGAAATAATGGTTCATATTCTCCCTCTCATCTGCAGAAACTTTAACCACACAATTTTACTTTTCATAAATTTTGTGTCATTTTCAAATAAGAAGTTAATTTTAGGACAAATGGAGTTTAGGTGTGATTGTGTGGATAGAGAGATTGGGGAAGGATAGTAGGCTTTTGATTGGGGACTAGAATACACAAATAGAAAATAGAACACTTGGTTGACCGATAATGGAATTGTGTTGATGGAAGGATAAAAGTGGAGATCCCCCAGGCATCCTCAAAGACGATAATACCCTTGATCCTATACCTCCACTTTTGAAAGACATGATCAAAAGACTTGTTAAGTGGCATGTGATACCTCCTAACTCCATTCCCGACAGTTGTGTTGTGAATATTTACGAAGAGGGAGACTGCATACCACCACGCATTGAAAATCAAGATTTTCTTCGGCCTTTTTGTATCGTCTCCTTCCTCAGTGAATGTGACATGGTTTTTGGATCAAACCCGAAAGTGTTGGGTCCCGGCAAGTTTGATGCTCCAACTGCAATTTCCTTGCCCGTCGGGTGAGTGGATATTTCTCTGCTCTTCTTCATCTTTCATGAAATGAAACCTTGTGAATCTTTACCCACTTTATTAGGACTAATGACACAATATTCCTCAGATCTGTTCTTGTGTTGAATGGGAAAGGAGCTGACGTCGCTAAACACTGCCTTCAAGCAGTTTCTGCCAAAAGGTACAAATTCAAACATGTTATGCACTCATGCTACAATGTCGCCTTTTTCGATATTGTCAGTTTTTTGCAAGTTATGTCGATTCAGAATGCGAAAAACAGTTTAGGATGTGAAAGTTTAAGTATGAAAACTACTACCTCCATTCCAATGTATTTCTCTACTTGCTTTTTTGGAGTTAATTTTTACAAATTTTGACCATTAATGTGTTTAAAGATACATTGAATGATAAATGATTAAAAAAATAAAAAAAAGTGAGATTTGTCTTACAAAATACTTGCATAAAATTATTTCATCATAGGGTTTACTCCCTATGCCCCTAATTAAATTTCTCCTTTACTATTCACAAGGTCAAACTTTATTTTCTTTTATTACTTACTTCCTCCATCTCACATTATGACATTAACTATCTACTAAGACTTTCTTGGTAAATTGAAAACTGAATGAATGTAGACATAAAGCATGTCTACATTCATTCATTTCTCAATGTATCATGAAAGTCTTAATAGACGCTAATATGGAATGAAGGGAGCATTACTTTAACCATTTGTTAATATTTTTAAAATAACAAATGATTTATCATGAAGCAGGATTTCGATTACATTTCGGAAAATGGCTGAATCCAAACGACCCCTCGGGTATGTACCCGACCCTGATTTGCAAGGCCTTGAGCCCCTATCATATGAAGTAGACAAATCCAAGAAATCAAAGACTCCCCGGCAGAGAAGGCAACATAATCATGATATGAAGAAACACTCAATTGGGCTTGAGGACAGTGCGAGGGGCAACCGAAGAAGGCCCGCAGAAAGGGGCTTTGTAGAGCCGAGGCACTTGCCGGGCCAAGCCCAACAAAGGAATAACCCAAGAGTGGTTGTCGACTTAGAAAAATCAGCCGACCATTCGTATCGGCGAACGGTGAAATTCGACCGGCATCTCCCTTGATGTGTTCTTTTAAGTACTGCAGAGCATTTCGTTAGGTTTCGGCTGGCATTTTGGTTTGGTTTGGTTTTGAATCTTTTTTCAGTTTTGGTTTGGTTCAGATGAGTATGGTTTGAGAAATACTCCGTATGTTTTTGGTTTGTGTCAAATTCAGTTTGGTTTGGTTGAGAACCTGTTGTGTTTTTTTTTATTAGCTTTGTTTTGGTAGTGTGATTTGAAAAAATATTACCAAACTAGAATTAAGGCCAAAATACTGATTACATTTTTTTGCCAATTTTCAAATGGTCCAGAAAATTGATGGAACTTTAGGTGGTGGTTCTTTTTTTCATTTAAAAACAAGTGAAAACGTGCATGTGTCACCCATCTATCAGTTTATCTATCATTCGATCTATTCATCATCTAGTACATGTGTTACCATTCATCCATCACCGACGAATAAAACAAGTGAAAACGTGCAATATTAGTAATAATTTTTAATTATTCATTACATGAAATAGAAGACTTAAGAGCGCTTAACTCATAACATCTTAGAAAAATAATACAGAGTACGAAATTAATAATGTTCATGATGGAATCTTGCAAAGAAATAATCTTCAACCACTTTGATCTACTTCATAATCAATTTGTCCATCATCCGTTCATCGTCTTTTTCTTTCGGGTTTTCATCCATTAGATCGGTTCAAGTGGTCCAATTATCCAATGGGTCGGGTTACCTCGGGTAGAACCCCTAAAAATAGTCAACTATACCGCATTAAACTCAATTTAAAAATTTGGTCATGAGTTCCAAGGAGCTCCCATTAGGCTTTTTTGGCCAATTTCGCAGATGAATCGAAGTGACAATTTGTTGCGAAACTTTCTTTATTGAATGTAACATGTTGAAAATATCATGCACAAATTGCTTGTATATATAGTGTTAAACTTCACTCAAAAGTTTTGGCCTTTTTCTATACTCCGTAATATTTAGTTCACGTTATAATTAAATGTACCTTATCCACAAAACTCAATAAGAATTCGTGAACTTTAACCAAGAAAAATCAAATAGACAATAAATTGGTAGGGACGAGTATTCTAAAATCAAAATATACAACAAACAAAGTACATGAGCTTAACTGCAAGGATGTCCACCCAAACAGACCCTTAGGCTCTGAAAAGAACAACATAACAATACCTTTGTAGTTCTGTTTATTTCCTTCCCACGTAAGCGGACAATTTGGACAAGTCCGGAACCCAAAACGACAGCTCAGAAGAACCGGTTGCATACATCAAGCTTCCCGGGGCCCATTTTATACATGGAGGTTCGACGTCTGTACTCATCCAACATGCAACCTGATTGGTAAAAACAACAAACCTATTAGCAAGGGCGAGAGGTTGAACACAGCAAGTAGTTGGGCTAAGGAAAAGCTAATACAATGCGTAGATAAAGAAGTAGCCTGTTTGGAGGGAAAGGTATACGTATAAAAACAAATCAAATGAAAAAAGAGAGCTAGAGCTATACTCCCTCCATTCTGTATTAAATGTATAATAAGATATTTTTGATACATTGAAAAATGAATGAATGTAGACATAGAGTATGTCTACATTCATTCATTTTTCAATGTATCAAGAATGTCTTATTAGACAGTTAATATGGAATGGAGGGAGTATGTGGGATGAAATTTCAATCATTTACTCTAATTAACAATGTATATGAATTACTCCCTCCATCCTAAAACTTTCTTTTGAGTTTGATTTGGCAAACTTATCACACCCTTATGGAGGGACCTTCCCACGTACCCTTGGGACCTCACGCACGCTTTGTGGCTTGCCCACATGAATTATCAAAGGAGTTGTTGATCACATTAGTTAAAAAGTGTAGGACACACGTACCTCTTTGCCACTCCGGACACTCCAAGCATATACACTGCCATCCCCTGAACCTGGCAAGTATATATTAAAATAATTGTGACTTTTGAGGCCGAGATGAATGTTGTTTATCAATTTCTCAAGGTTTAAAGAAAATATACTTGCACAAAATCCTATGTGACTTAGTAGCCGGACATCAAAGTAGAAGACAACAAAAAATTCTCAGTGGATAAAGATACAAGGAGTTGACAACCATATCTATATGCAGTATAACACCACATACTCTATATAATTTGAAGGAGCAGAATATATATATATATATATATATATATATATATATATGTATATGTATATATATGTATATATACACACCGACATATATATACATATAATGTGTGTGTGTGTGTCTAGAACCACCAAAAGACGTAAAGAAAAAGTTCCATAAATTGTAATACCTGACATGACAAACATTCCTTCAGGGCTAAAAGATGCCTCCAAAGTTAAATCGGATAAAACGGGCTTCACATTATATGTTGACAACTGGAACATATGTATCATCATATAGCACGTCAAAAAATATGTTCTGCAAAACCCGCAAAACATTTGTGTATATGGATGGTTGTAGAGGGGAGGGTTTTGGAGGGCTTAGTTTACATATTGGTAAATAGCATCTCTCAAAGCAGATAAAAGGTGTTTGAAATGTTATACCATCACATGTCATGTTAATCTTTCAAAATTTTATATATTTTAAAATCTGAAACATATATCAGAATATAGACTCGAGTCCTCTAAAGCTTCCACTCCAACCATACTTGGCCTGAAATAAATTCCTCAAAATCAGGAGGAAGCAACTCACCAGTGTGCCACGGAACGAATCAAGGACATGGATTTTTCCATCTGAAGTAGTCAAAAGCATAAGCCTTCCATCAGTGCTGAACTTGACAACATTAGCATCTGACACGTCTCCACCAACTGAAAATATTTCAAATGGCCCCTTCAAGAATGCAACTTTAATGATTTCAGTTTTAGTGGGGAAAAAAAAGGATATACTGGATAATTTCAATCATTTTCCATTAATTTACTAGCCTTTTCATACTTGCGTCCATCAAACATTCTTATGTATCCTCCAAAAGCAATAGCAAAAACAAGCCCTTGCTCATCATAAGCCGTAGCTGGTCTTCCTTGTGTACGTAGAAGGCCCTAAGAGCAGAGAGTACACAACATTTAGAATTCTCCGTGAAAAAGAAGCATTTCAAAAGGACATATGCCGGCTTTGTTTTTTACCTGGCATTATGTCCATTGCAAGTGGAGCTAAAAGAGTCATTTTTTAAAACAATTTAGCTTCACATAAATAATTGACTAAATCAAAATGACACATAAAACTTCTACTGGTTCTTACAGTCTTGGGGAGTAGCAGATCTCTCTGTATTTTTTCAAGTGTAAGATTTTGACCATGTTAAGATCCATGTCACTGATTTCTCTCCTTTTCCTCACCAAAATGGAAGGAAAGTTATTTTTTGTCTTAGTTTATTTTCTCCTCTCATTTTCTTTCCTCCCACTTTTCATTTCTTTTCCTCTCTAACCAAACAAGAAAAATTATTTTCCATATCATTTTTTATGTTTCCTTTTCAAATTCCTTGAACCAAACATAGAGTAACAGATTTGGGATTATGCTGGGTTTTGTTGTCATTTTTGTAGTTTCTTTTACCTGGCATCTTTCGGCTCTTTGGTCCCATAACATTACAGTTCGATCAAGAGATCCAGAAATAAAGCATTCCTTTCTGGAACACATGCTCAGCGAGACAACCCTAAAGATAGAGTTTCAATCAGATTTTGACCATGTTAAGATGAATATGTTAGGTGTTAATTTACAATCCTTAACCTGTCGTGATGCCCCTTGAAATACCGCAAATATTTGTTATCGTGCAGTGAGAGAAGCCGCAAAGATTCTGAAGTCATTTAACAAATAGACCTCAGTTCATTTTATAACTGCAGCTTATATACACAAGAAGAATGTCTAATGTGACTTACCGTCCCACCCATTCTTTGAAGAATATATAACAGTCGTTGGATGGGAAGTAAAGCTGACCAGATCAACACCATACTTTTTGCTATTAATTGTCTTTAAACACCTGCTAATTAAAATGACTTCAAGATCATTAGCAATAATAACGAAACAAGACAAAACAGGATTTACTAAAACCTAAAGACAGCTTACAGAAACTCAGCTTGATATTAAAATCAAAATTCGGGAATCTTACGTAGCAGTTGTGACATCATATAGACGAATTGATTCATCATCACTTGCAGTGACCAAGTAAGGTGACGTCTTGTGAAAATCCAATGAACTGATTCTTCCATTCTGCATAATGACATAAAAAGCCTTAACTAATTTCGTATTTGCCTAGACTATATCGGAACTTAAAAAGATGAACGTGGAGAGCATGTCTGTAGCCATCACATCCCGGGCTTATAGGAAGAAAGTCTATCCTGAGGCATGGGCCAAAACATGTTATGAGAAGCCACTGACAAAAAAGAATGTTTGTTTACCTGATGAGTTATCCTTTTCTTGTACCCGCGCAAGAAAACCACTCATCCCCAGCTTAGCCTCCATCTCCTTTGATCTCTCCTAAGATTGGCCTCTAAATCCATCTTTCTCATCCAAAATCTTCACAGACTCAGCCGCCTTCTTCAGTTATTCCCTCTCCCACTTCATAGCCATCGCATTACATGTTTTGACCCTCACCTCAAAAAAAGGCTTTCTTCATGTCAATCTAGGTTTTGAAGAAATTGGAATTCATATAGTCCCTGTCCCACAATAATCAAGACACTTTACCTAGAAATTGAACTTAGGGGGAGCACTTACCTAAGGTTTCAAGACCCAATAATACCAATAAACACCTACCAAAGAAGCTAAGGGTCCGTTTTGTATACGGAATTCAAACTATGGAATTGGAATTGGAGACAACATTTTTAATTTTGCTGTATGGCAGCACAAAAATATGTGGATTTGGAATTGGTAGTGCCTAAATGAGTTGGAATTGGAGTTCTCAATTCCATCCAAATCAATTCCATAGAATTTCAACTCCCAATTCAATTCCAATTTTGTCAATTCCGTGTACCAAACGGACCCTAAATCTTCCAAGTCTTTGAGAATGGATGAATAAGTAAACAAACAAAATTCCCAAATTTAGAATACATTCTTCAGCATCTATAGCAGCAATTAAGCAAAGAAGAAGAAGAAGAATGAAAATTGATCGGAAGAAAACATACATAATCGCGAAAGGTAATTCCGACTTCCATGCTCTGAAGGATCTCTTCAGTAAGTTCGAGCGAAACCTTGTCTTCCCTCTCCGACTGCCCGCCTGAGCAAGCATCAATTCCATCACGGCGAAGAAAAAACCATGGATGTACAGATTGCAGAAAATCTGCAGAGAGTTAGTATTTATTACAGTTACCTGCCATCACAGCAAAAAGCTTGCGGAATCAATGCCCCCTCCTTCTGTCTGGAGAAGCTCTTCGTCAACCTCCTCCTCAGCCTATATCCACTTTCAACTTTCTTTAATGGGCCGACCCGATTGATACTCAACAATACCCATAAAATACCCATACTATTTCTTCTTTTTATTTTGGGTAAACTAAATTTATTTTTACTTCATTTTGAATAAGTTAGTGTAAAAATTAAAATTTAAAATTTTTGTCAAGGATTCATCAAAACACATGATATGGTTTGTGATTCATTGTTAATCCGCAATATATCTCGTACAACCAATTGTGCAATGTTTTTCGTACGTCTACGATGAATGCTCATTTATGAGTAATTAAATACTCATTCTCACGTTAGTGAATACTTATTTCTCTAAAATTCAGTTATACTCAAAATTGAGTATTTTGTTAATCAAAAATGTGTACTCGACAATGAGTATTCATGCGAATGAACAAATAAAAAAAAATTAAAATTAGAATTTGTTTAACCGAAAGAATTAGGCAAAAACTTAATGAAGTACTCCGTATTTGTATTGTGAAGTTTAGCATTACTATTACCACAACATAATAAGGAGATAAACTGCAAATTCCATGTTCATTTCAGGAGTACTGAATAATGAAACAGTGGTTGGGAATACATTTCAGAAAGAAAGAAAGTTAAAAAGAAAACAGAAATGGATAATAAAGAAAGAAGGAAAGAACAAAAGAACAGGGAGGTTTTTTTTTAATAAAGACTGGATTTTGTGCCTTTATTCTTCATCCTCTTCTTCATGGAAACGGAGGTGCTTTCCACTAGGCGGTGGCAAGCCCTTCAGAACCAGAGCACCGCCGCAGCAGCCCTCCTCCTCCTCCACTGCCGCCGCCGCCACCGTGCCTTCAATCTCGCCGTCACTGTTGTACACAAACCTCACGTGCTTCCCTGCGCCATTGAAGCCCATCTTCTTCATCCCCTGGCACAGCTCTTCAAGATCTCCTCCATTGCATACAATCTTCCCCTCACCTTCTTCTTCTTCTTCAAAATCATCATCAACCCATTCTTCTTCTTCTGGAAATTCTTCATCTTCAACCCACTCTTCTTCTTCATCAATGGTACTCCCACTTGCAGCATTGGCCTGAATTGACCAGCGAGAAGAAGAAGCATCATCATCCCCAGCTCCAGCTGGTGCTGTTATCACAGTCTCATTTGTCACCATTGATGAAGAATCTGAACCCTCCAATTTCTCTGAGAATTCCAGCAGCAGTGACCTTGTCACCTTCATCTCCTCCTCAGCTTCACACTCCTCTTTCCCATTCACAATAATCTGAATTCAAATCCCACCCAAAAAAAAACACAACTTTACAGATCAAACAAGCAAAAAAGATCAAAACTCCACTCTCCTCTGCTGGGTTCAAAAAGAACTTGGGAATTTTGGAATCGAGATATATGAAAATCTTAAAAAGACTGAAATACCTGAGAGATGGTGAATTTGTCTTGAACAGGAGTTGGAGTGAGAGAAGGCGGGAGATTCTGAGAGGGGTTTAGATGGGGAGTGTTTGCAGGCGTTGGGGCAAGAAGATTCATAGGGCTTTGAAGATGAACAAGGAAAGGTCTGTTATTATTGTTGTTGTTGTCGTTTCCCCTTGGGAGTTGAAAAAGATGGGATTTTTCTTCTTCAACCTTCTGAAGCAAGTTCTTGACTTGGCCTCTCAGAAGAGCCTCCCCGGATCCGGGAGTAGCGGTAGTTGTTGACATCATCATTGCCCTTTTCTTCCCCATCGCCATTGAAGATGATGGCGTCACACTCCCCATTGCCAGCCCTATAATGGGTGAGTCGTTTGTTATGTCAATCAGAGCACATCTCTCTTGCTGCTGCTGATGCTGATTGTTCCGGGCATTTCTCTGTCTGCATTTATCCCCTTTCTTGCTTTCACACTCTTCCAGTCTCATCTCTGAGAAAGATTTTGAAAAGATTCAGGAAAAAACCAACAAGAACAATAGAATCATAATTGAATCCAGGAATTCAGACTGTATAGAGTGACTACAAAAAAAGGAAGAAATCTTTCAAAAAAGAGGAAAGATTTCTTCAATTTTTCAATGTGTTCCTTAATCCAGATTGATGAGTTACAGATCTTCAAATCTATCCGCAGCCCATAGATCAAGAATCAATTTTTTCCCCAGATTTTTCAAATCTATATGCAACCCAGACATCAAAGAGCAACAAGAACAAGAAAATTTCAAAACAACTTCTGGAATCCAGATTGTTGGGTATAAAAACAACCAAAGAAGAGATCTTTGAAGATAAACGGAGGGAATCAAAAAAGAAGAAGACTGACTTGAAATGGGGATGTTATTGGCTGGGAGGGCATTTGCAGAAGCAGCAGCTTTGGCCTGAGATCGGGTCACTCTCCTGGTTGACGATGATGGAGTCTCCATTTGGGGGAATTTGAAAGATCAAGAAAACGTACGAACAATCTTTCTAGGAACGAATTGGGAAAATCCCACAAATTACCGGAGGGGATTTTATGATCGTGTGTAGAAATGAGAAGATGATTAAGATGGGATTAAGGGGGTGAATGAGAAGATGGATTTATAGGGACTGAATCGGCGAGTAGGGTTTGAATGATGGGGAAGAAAAGTGACCGTTAGAGCGTCTGGAGCCAGCAAAATCACTAACTAGCCGTTGGGAGAATATATATGGGCCCTTGTTTATGAAAATGGGCTTTTCATTCATCATTCATAGGCTAACTTGATACTTTCTTTGCAATTTTTAGGGTCCATTTTTATGCAGAAAATACTTGCGGAGTAATAAAGAAAATGGATTTTGTAACCTTTACTCTGACTTTACATCCAGTCTATTTTTTTTTTCACAAATTAAACTGGCAGATATAGAGTGAAATTAGATGGTTGAAAACAATGCAAAGGGGAAAAATTATACAGACCATAATTTTTTTTAAGAAAAGTAGAAGGTAAAACTTTTTTTGGGAAGAACAAAATGAGAAATGTAGATTTTTTTTATCGATCATAGGAAGGATATATGCACGTCTCGCTAATAACTAACATACAAAGCTACTGCAAAATTTGACAATAGGGAGACAAGTGAATGTAAGCACTCTCTTGCAATCGACCTAAATGGAGGAGGTAAGAAACGTTTTAGAACCGCCGGTTCCGGTTCTGGAACCGTCGATGGGGGTACCACAATTGGTACCGGTTCCGGAACTTTTTTTTTTTGTAAAAAATTGAATTTTTGGCACATAAATGATAGTAGTATATGGCTCTAACATTTATCTGAATGTACTTATTACTTACCACTATAAAATAGCTAATCTAAATGTAGTTTGACATCAAAAGAATCACACCCAAAATACAAAGAAGATAAAAGAAAATATAATTTCAAGGCCCTTAAAACAAAACAAAGTAAATTGAGTTGTTGTCTTGGAAACTACGAGTATACACAAGCAGACTTGGCATCACATTCCCCACTCAAACCAACACAGCTAAAAGCAGGCTCTTTCTTCACCTCCAAGCTGGCCATCAGTCCCCTCAGTCTAGACACATTCCCCCACATGCCCGCGCCCGCATAAACCGAAGACAGCAAGACGCACGTCGATGCCTCGGTGGGCCCCACACTCATGACACGGTCCGCGACTCTCACCCCCATCTCAGCAGCCCCGTGCCTCTTGCAGGCGCTCAGGAGTGCCACCCAAGCAGCTTCGTCCGGCTCAAATGGCATCGTTTCGAGCAGGTTTTCAGCCTCATCAAGGAGCCCAGACCTGCTCAATAGATCCAACAGACAGGTATAGTGCTGCAGAGATGGGTTCAGACCATAATCCTCAGTCATGGACTTGAAAAGGCCGCGGCCTCTCTCTACCAAGCCAAAGTGGCTACACGCAGAGATTAGTCCAGTGAAAGTGACTTCGTTTGGCTTGAACCCCTCTGAGACCATTTCGTCATACAGCGACAAAGCATCGTTTGCTTTCCCATGTTGTGCCATGCCAACAATGATTGATGTCCATGAGACAACGTCTCTAATTGCCATGTCATCGAACACGGTTTTCGATGCCAGCACATCGGAGCACTTGGAGTACATGTCCACGAGTGAGTTGCTGACGAAGAGGTTGGGTTCGTAGCCGAAAATGATGACCAAACAATGGATCTGTTTGCCAAGGTCCAGAGCTGCAAGACTGGAAGAAGCTCCAATGATGCTGGAAAGAACATATGGGTCTGAAATATCAACACCTTCTTTTCTCATTTCGATGAAAAGGCTAAACGCGTCGAAAAATTCCCCACTTTGCACCATTCCAGATATTAATGCAGTCCATGTGGATATGGTTTTCACCTGAGAAGAGCGAAAAAGCTCCATGGCTTCAGGCTTCATCCCATTCCTCACATACCCAGAAATCATAGCTGCAGAAGAAATCGGATTCCTGTGGAAGATAGAGTCGAAAACCTTTCGGGCGTGACCAAGGGCCCCACATTTGGCGTACATGTCGACGAGGGAAGACTTCACCACATCATCGTGCGAAAAGGGCGACACGATGAACTGCCCGTGCGCCTGTTTTCCCACTCTCAGGGCACTAAGGTCAGCGCAGGCCTTGACGAGGCTGGCGAACACAAAGTGGTCGGGTCGAAAGCCGTCGAGGCGCGACATGTTTGGGAAGATGGAGAGAGTGGATAGGGGGAGGCCGGCGAGGTTGTGGGCGGTGAAGAGGGAAGCCCACGAGGCAAAGTCCCTTTGGGGCATTTCGTCGAACACCTGGCGGGCGTCTTTCAGGAGGTGGCATTTGCCGTACATGTCGATGAGACCATTGGAGTAGATGGGGGCAGCACATTTGTCTTGGCCGTTCTTTACAATCTGGGCATGGAGTTTCTTGCCCTGCAATGGAGATTGGCGCCTTGCGCAGTGCCGGAGTTGATGAATTGTGGAAGAACGATGCATTCAGAGCATTTGCATATTCCTCCTCTTCTTCTCCAATTAATATAATAATCAATCTGCTTCGGGTTTTAGTCACAATCACAGCAGGATGAGCTAAACTAAAAGAAAAAAAATTCGCCCGTTAATCCAAAAGGCAGGGATGAAGGAACAACAAATCAAAATTGTTTATAGAGAACAATGTTTGTCATTCGAGCCTTCATTTTTTCGAACCGTATTTTTGAAAATACTGATTTACCCCGGAGTAATTTTGAACTCAAAAGTCTTCATATAGACTCGTTCAATTCAACACTTCAACACTAGTGTACAAAGGACATTGTGCAAGTGTGCCTTTGACTAATTTATGCAAAAATATAATACTCCTTATTATCTTTCAAAAGAAAAAAAAAGAATAGGATACTCTTTATTACTATCTCCGTCCCGCCAAATAGCTCCGATTTGGAAAATTGGCATCAATACCCCCTCTATTTTCAAAACTTATTTCTAAAGTCCCCGTGGTTTCAAAATGCTGCACTCGTGCCCCCTCTGATCATTTTCCGGCCATTTTCTGGCAAAGAGAGGGCATTTGCGCATAATTTTTAAACCATAGGGGGTATTCGGGCTCATTTTTTATTTTCCGTTTATTATTTGTATTTTTCTTTTTTTAAATATTTTCTATCTCTTTTTTCTTTTCCTAGTTTTTTTTCTAATTTATTTTCAATTTTTTATAATGTTTTAAAATTTTAAAATTTTTTGTTTTTGAAATAAAAATAAAAATAAAAAAATTAACATACATTGCATCTATTTGAAATTAAACATTTTCACTTTTTGTTACGTACTTATTTGGAAAGTTCAAAAAGAAAAACCTAGAATAAAAAAACAAAAATATGGAAAAATAAAATGAAAAATAAAAATACACAAAAAAAGTCTGATACAAAAAATGGACAAGCCTAAAAAAGTCTTTAGAATCGAGATGTTCGAAAAAGATATTCATTTTTATTTTTCTATTATTTTGTTTCTTATTTTATTCCTCATTTTTTTGAAATTCTCCAAAAAAAGTTTACTTTTTTCAGAAAAAACAAAAATTGTTGATTTGAGAAGTACATATACATTATATGTTAATTTTTTCAAACAAAAATAACTTTAAATTTTATGAGCATTATAAAAATAATTTAAAAAACCTTTATTAATAAAAGTAACAAATAAAGGAAAAAATGGAAAAAAACAAAAAATAAGCGAGAAATAAATATCAACACCGATGCCCCCTGTGGTTTAGTAAATATGCAGCAATGCCCCTCTTTTTCGCTGGAAAAATGGCCGGAAAATGATCAGAGGGGGCACGGGTGCAGCATTTTGAAACCACAAGGACTTTAGAAATAAGTTTTGAAAACAGAGGGGGTTTTGGTGCCTATTTTGCAAACCACGGGAGGTACTGGCGTTATTTGGCCATCTCCGTCCTATAAAACTTTTTCTTTTGGAAAAATGTGCATTCTTAAAATGAGTCATTTTAGTGTTATTTTCTAATTTTGCTCTTATTTTATGATGGAATAGGATGAAATGTTTAGAATAGATGAGTCATAATTCAAAAATAGCGCTAAAATTACTCCTTTTAAAGGTATGTTTTTTCAAACAGGAAGAATTTTATGAGACACAGAGAATATAAAAATTGATACTTCGAATATATACGGAGTATTCATGTATTTTTGTCCTATAACATTTTTGAGTATTTGATTTTACGTATTTTAAAAGTTGTTACAATTTTTTTAAAAAAAAATTGGGAGCTAAAAAAAAGAAAGTGTAAATAATTTTATGTGACGTTGGAAGTATTTAGTATTTCTTCCATTTGCTCCGAAATAGAATTCATATTTTTCTTTAGATTTCGTTTAAAATAAACTTCACTTGTTTTTAATTTTTTTAATAAAAAGAGCACATAAATTATTTTATTTCTTTATCTTTAACAAATTACAACTACGACTATATATCTGTATTTTCCAATACAATAAATTTCGTAAATTCAAACAACTAAATATTCAATTAGTAGGGCGGAAGTGCTCCCAACTATAACTTTTACTAGCATTTTGACCCGTGCCACGCACGGGGTCGAACGAATATCTTATCGATTTTGAATTTTATTCATTGTAGTATTTTTTTATAAAGAAATATATTTCTTACATGATTTATAATAACATGGAAAAAAGCCAAAGTAAAATGAATAATTTTTTAGGGAAGAAATGTGTACATAACAAAGTTTATTTTAATACCAAATTTTTTTGAAAGACTCCAGGGTATATTTTGAAAGGTATTGAGTGGACTGTCATCTGGAAATGGCATACCACTGAATTCTCTTAAAGACCATCCATTTGAATTGAAAAACTTTAAAATCTCAATCAGACATAAGTTTTTTAGGCCTTCTCGAGAAATTATAAGCTCTGAAAAAAAGAATTAGAAAAAATAGAAGTTAATTAATTCTTACAGAGTACTGTATAAAATGTTTGTTTTCAAGACAATGCATTACATATGGATAAATATGTTAAAAAAAATATTTCTCTATCGAAATACCTTGATTATGCAATAGTCTCCTTCGATCAAATAAAATTCCTTATCATTGGTTTAACCCGAGTGCATCGCATGCTTAGCTTCCTCGAATGAGTTAT